TAATAATAATAATAATAATAATAATAATAATAATAATAATTATTATTATTATTATTATTATTATTATTATTATTAATAGATGTAACTATTTAATGTTAGGTATTTAATTATAATAATGATCATCATTTTCATCTGTTGTATATATTGTTTTTCAACCTAGATTAAAAAAAATCTCCAGAAATAAAACATATAATAATAATAACAATGATATAAAAATCTAAAAATAACAAAGTTGTGTTTGATTAAGTATTTGGGTAAAACAGTTGTTTCAAGGGAACGAAAATATGTTTTCAATCAGACAGCCGAATAAGCACATATAATGGCTACATGGAGAGTGACAGGGCCCCAAAAGAAGACAACTCTATCCAAAGAGAAACGAATAAAACTCCACACCGATGCTGTCTTTCATCTCTTTCTCATGCTCAGTCGCTGGCTATATGGCTCTAAATCCCGTCTATAGGATTTAGTCTCTCACTTTCTCTTTCAGTTTTAAGCGGTTTCTCAAGAGTGTTTTGATCCAGTCTCAGCAGCTGAAAGGTGCCGCAATTGGTTCGGTATCTCTTTTTTTTTTGCTGCTTTTCCGCCTCACTGGCTGAGACATCGTGATACTAAAGAATGAGTTTATTTCCCAGCGCTTTTATAAAGAAAACAAATCCCATCCTAGCGTCAGTGGGTCTGGCGCACGGATAATAGCTGCACATTCACTCCTTTTTATAGATTATCCGGAGTGAAGAAACAAATAGCGTGGATACAAACTATTGGCCTATAGAAGAATACTTTGGCTATTATGCAGCAATGGAAATTGTCAAGAAATGTGTCCCATCAGGTTTCCTTCACTGAACAAAAACGGACACATATAGACACACTAAATGTGTTTGGAGGCCTGCGTGATGCAGGGAGAATTTGCACGCAGCGGAACTATGAGGAAATGTGTAATTTGGTTTATTTTTCTATGAGGCAAACACGTGTTTTATTTTGTGCTATCGCTCTATAGTTCATAGAAACACATTAAGTAATTGGCTGATCTTATAATCCACGTAGGTGAACAGTTACTCGGCCTTTTTTGCACCTTTTCCCCAGTTTTGCAACAACCTGGAGTAGAGGACTCCAGCTGCTCGGCTCTGGGGTTTTTTAGAACACAAATAAAATTTGCTCTGAAAAAGAAAATGCTGAAATGCCACTTCGTAGCCCCAGAGCGCCATCGTTGAGATATTACATAAACCTCTATCAACGCACCCGCTGCTTAATTTCGCATTAACTTCTTGGTGTGATAATGATGTCCAACAACAAGACAGACATTAGTCGATAAGCCTCGCCCTGCGAGTGAAGGGGCCTTCAGGCCCACCGCGGACAAACAGCAGCAGTGAATAGATTGGCCTTATTTTGGTTGTTCAGGGGGTTGCATGCTCTCTCCTCACTCATTTGTTTCCAATTGAAGACAGAAATCCTGACTGGCGTGTAGCTGGCCGGGGGACGTGATTAATGATGGTAGTGGATAAGGGTTAACACACTGGACTCAAAGCTCTGTTGACTGGGATCCTCGTGCGCACAATGCCAAAGTACTATAGCCTGTGTGCCTCCAGAGAGAGGGGATCCTTTTGTCATCTCCTCCAAAAGCTCCCCTCCACACACACACACACACACCCACCCCCATCCCATCCCATCCCATCCCATATATTACACCCACCGAGGGCTCACTGCTCGTCCCTGGCTGTGTCCATAGTTTAATGGTTTCCCTTACTCCTGAAGGCATTGTATCATTCTGAAAAGCGTCTTCTTCTATTCAAAAGTTGGTGGTCACCTCAATGGCCATACCAACGCCCATATGGGAACGGCCATTGAGGCACTGCTCTGTCCAGGAGGAAAAAGGGAGGGGGTTTTGGAGCTGTGTAGAGAGTTTGGGTTTTAAATACATTTCATAGGCTCTGAAAAGAGGCTCAGCACATCTTGTCACATTTCTCTTAACCTTTTGAGAACACACGCCATTGTTGGGACACGATAAGTACGCGGAGCTTTCCCCTTAGCCAGCCTGTTTTTCCCACAATATTTTATCAACAGTTTAACCACGAAGCCGGTTTGATGTTGTTCCTTTTTCACGCAGCCAGTCGTCTGTAAAGTGGCAAACATTAGGAAGAAATTGCAATAATTCCTCCAATTTTGAAACAAATTAACCATGATGGGTGCTTTAATTAATGATGTACCACCGAGGTCTGTACAATTAGCGCTAGGCTGATACAACACGAGCCCCGATAATTAATTATTCAATTAAGCTTAAGTGAATGTATATTTCCATTAATTTCTCTCTCCTTTTTTTAGATGGCTGCCAACAACAGGACGGTGCAGGAGAAAACACAAACTCCATCAGCTCGAACGGGGAGGATTCAGAGGAGACACAGATGCGTCTGCAGCTCAAGAGGAAACTACAGAGAAATCGCACATCCTTCACACAGGAGCAAATCGAAGCACTGGAAAAAGGTCAAATATGCAGTGGATAATTTGTATAATTCGTTTTAAACATCCAGACTAATGTTTCATCGATAACACAATACAAACATTTTGGTTATTGTAAGCAAATTCAAAGAAAACGCAAACTGCGTGAGGGACTACATTTCTTCATTACACTGCGTTAAATAAGAAGCCTAATTAAAAACCTAATGTTTTGGATCCAGGGCGAACGACACGCAATTGTTTCACTAATAGCTCTGAATAAAATTAACTGCCCTTGACCTAATCTTATATTTACTAACACCTATACCTGTGTGATTAATCCCACTGCAGAATTTGAAAGAACTCATTATCCAGATGTTTTCGCGCGAGAAAGACTAGCAGCGAAAATCGACCTGCCCGAGGCAAGAATACAAGTGAGTGATCGCAACTTTTATGAGCACGTTTAAAAGAGGTTTTAAACTTGAAGCTAAAATTATGCTTTTCCCATCCTTCATCTGCAGGTATGGTTCTCAAATAGGAGAGCAAAGTGGAGGCGAGAGGAGAAGCTGCGGAATCAGCGCCGGCAGGCCAATAACTCCTCAAGTCACATTCCCATCAGCAGCAGTTTCGGCACCAGCGTCTACCAGGCCATTCCACAGCCCACCACACCGGGTAGGTCAACCTAATCAGAGATATTACTTTGACCATATGCCCAGTAAGGTAAAATAATACTTAAATTTAATTTTTCAACTGAAATTATTAAAAGTGCAGTCCTACTTCACACACGCTGCACAAGCACACACTACTTTGTTAAAAAAAATTTAATGCATTAATACTGTGATGGGTTCCATAGGCTCAGTGGGTTAAATATTTACTAAACAGTATCATGCCACAACCTGCGGATTCATATAAAAAGGGCAAAGGAGGCCTCGGTGGCTGTGCGCTCTAGTTCGCATGAAGAAGCGCCGTTGCTTCCCTTTGATGGATGATTGAGCAAAACTTCTCAGCTGACTATCTGAGCAATTACCGAATCAGGCACGAGGGTACACCGGCAGAGCTGAAGCTCGTGAAGTCAATCACCTGAGGCTCTCGCTGTAGAGCTATCTGTCCGGGCCCATCAGCCTGTCAAATAAGGCGTCACCTTCCGCACGCACTGCTTAACGCTAATGAGATGACTTCTCTCACCGGAGCTCAGTGTGTGTGAGATTTCTGCGGTTTCAAGCGAGTTTTCATTTTCATCCACAGTGTCTTTCACCTCGGGGTCAATGCTGGGTAGACCTGACACCGCACTCACAAACACCTACAGTGCGCTGCCGCCGATGCCCAGCTTCACCATGGCAAACAATCTACCTATGCAAGTAAGTCAAATACTCTGCATACATTACATACGAGTGCTTAAATAAAATGAATTTAAAGCTGGGTTTTTACAGTGACTGGTGTGACTATAAGAGTGGCAAAAAAAGTACAAAATTACATAGGCCTGCATACTGTAACTAAATGATTCGTGAAATAATTTGATAGTGTTAAAAGCAGACAAACTAGATTACAGACTACTGAGCTGCAAATTCTGGTTGGCTAAGCTAATGTAACATTCTCTCCTCATTTTTAGCCCAGCCAGACCTCCTCTTATTCCTGCATGCTGCCTACCAGTCCGCCTGTGAACGGGCGGAGCTACGAAACATACACGCCCCCTCATATGCAGGCACATATGAACAGCCAATCTATGACCACTTCTGGTACCACCTCAACAGGTAGGCAGAAAATTTCACTTTTTTAATTGTTTATTTTTAAAGCAGCCTGCTTGGGAGTTAAAAAAGCAAACACTGCACTCTTTGAAATATCTGCCACCTTTCCAGTAATCAGGGGATACTACAGAGTCATGTCTGATTCATGATCTGTCATCCCAAGTTTCCTTTTCCTTTGGTTTAAATGTCTGAGGATCTATATCTCTACATCGCACATCATTTTTCTCTCCGCAGTTGCATGAACGAGGCTCATTTCTTTGCCACTCTGGGCCATCATGTCAACCCCACTACTCCAGCCCATAGTTTAGTTCCACCCCATTAGGATGTTACTGAGAGCCATATATACCGGTTATAGTCATGAAGAGTTAATCATGCATAACCACATTTCCTCTGTGCTAAATTGCTAATTAATTTGATTCATTTGCTGTTGTATTCTCTCTGTTTAAATGCCATTGCCAAAGCCTCAATTTATCGAGCTTGCAAGCATTTTACCGAGCCACCACGTGCAGAGCTTTGTGACTCATTGCAGGCCCATGCTCATCTACCTATTTGCAAGCATTTAAAGCACAATGCTCTGTTAGTTAACTGTCGTACTAACCGTGCATGGTAAACCTGCTCATCTAATTTTAGCATTTAGACAGCTTTTTTTTTTTTTTAACTTCCTTATGTGTTTCCAATCTGACATCAATCTTTCTCTCTTTGTCTTCACAGGACTCATCTCTCCTGGAGTGTCTGTCCCAGTCCAAGTCCCAGGAAGCGAGCCTGACATGTCTCAGTACTGGTCAAGACTACAGTAGAGAGAAGAGCTACTTCACCCTGTAACCACCCACTCCACCATCGCCCTCCGGCAGTGTTTCTCACACATACACGGCACAGGAGAGTAAAGAAGGCGAGAGAGGGTTGAAAGGAGGCAACAGACAGAAGAGGAGGGGGAAAAAAAGAGAGCTAAAGGGACTCCGGGAGAGCCTTTGGGACGTCTGGGCTTTGTTTTTCCAGTGGGACAGTGTGCTGTTATGTAGCTCTAGGCACATTCAAACGAGGACTTGGAAGAGTGAACAACGATGGAAAGATCGGGGGGCGGGGAATGGACCTCTGTAAAGTGCCCGGTGTTAAATTTATATGGAACAAAAACTTCTTATCTGTTTTTTTTTCTATTTCCAACTTCAGTCATTGTTTCCTTTTGTTCTCTGGTGTGTTTGTAAATGGCCATTTGTATGTTAATATGAAAAACCAAGATCAAGTACTGATAGATGGACTGCTAGAAAACCATGTTGGTCTTGCGTTTGTTTGAGAGAGGAGAACCTGAGAGATTCTGCCATGACTATCTTTTAATCTGCTTATATCAAGACTTTCTACCAGCCTTTGCATGGTCTCTGGACGCTGTTGCATATCATTAAAGACGAAAAGCTGGAGGGAAGACTCTTACTGTGTCAAAGAAAAAAAACACAAAAGAAGCAACAACTATTTATTGGTCTTATTTCTTGCGAATGGATATTTTAGCAGAGGAAACTCAAACTCGATCCACCCACTGAGGCTGTGGTCTTGGCTCCTCTGACGTGAGCCTGCATTTGCTGGCTTATTAGACACGGATCACTATGAACAGCTTCAAGTGTGCAAAGAAGGTGCGACACGCAACCCAACTCGGACCCTTTTGCTTTGGTGGTTGGATTGACACTTGATTACCACGAAGAACGTTAAATGTGGAAAACACAGGTGCAAAAAAACCCTGTAGTCTGTAAATGGTAGACTGCATCTTCGATATAATCCAGTTTGTTTATGTCAAAATGTAAAGTACTTGTCTTCCCTAGAAATCTTCCAGAAAGATTTCACCAATAAAAGTTGATTTCATTTATCCCCCTCCTCCCCCCAGAATATTCTATAAATGTTCCATGCATCATAAAATACATTTTCTTTAGGGTCAGGTACAATTTGTCTCTTAGGTATAGTTGTATTATAGTGTCCTATGGTCAAAAAAAAAAATGTGCAACTAGAAATATTTAATTCCTATAATTATGATTAAACATTGCTTGACAGAGTTTTAAACTTAAGTGTTTGGCAGTTGTTTACAAGTACATATCAGATTTAATCATTGTTGATTGTAAAACAGACCAAAGCCTTTGTATTTCATCTAGTACACAATGTTTTTTTAAAAAAAGATATTAGTCTTGTGTTGCAAAATTTTGTAAACACGTTCTGTTCAACTATATTGGCTTCGAGTTCGTAAGACTGCAGTCGAAACCCGCAGTCCTTATTTATAATTGAAGACCATGGGAGGGTTTTTCTAGCATCATCTGTCATGCTCTTTTGAGTTTTGCATTTTTATTTCAGTGTGTACGTAGAACATGGACACATACTGGGTTTACGTCTGAGCATTGCTTCTGAGATAAAACGTCTACACGCTGTCTCTTAAATATTTCAATTTAATTTTATTTAAAATGGAGCTTTCTAAATGTATTTTGTGAAAACTATAAAAAACATTTTGTACAGTAAAATTGTGTCTTAAAGAAAGCCTTTTTGCCTGGTTAATGCTGTGTCAGCTTTTACTGAGCAAGGAGAAACTCTGTTTTGTTTTTTTTTTGCATCGTTGCTGCAAAAGTGAACAACTCTAACACGGGCCGGTGCCAGTGCGACAGCTTGTGGTGAACGTAACACGTTCGATTCCTTCCCAACAAAGGCGTCCAAAATAAAAAAAACACATTCCTGATGTGTGGGGCCGAACCAAGTCGACACAGACCACACAATGAGAAAGGTCAAGCAATTCAACGTCCCTTGCTCTTGTTTTAGTAGAGTTACGATGGTATGGAAAAAGAAAAAAAAATACAGGACCGATGATGGGACCAATGAGGAAAAGGAGGGAGCAGAGAAGAGAAAGGGGGGAAAAAAGTCATGAAATAAAGCAGTCAGTGCCTAGAGCGAGGTGGAGGAGCGATTGTGTGGCAGAGTGAGTTATTTTGCTTCACTTGCTGCCTCAGCAGGGGGTGGGGGGGTTGTGTGTGTATGTGTATGGATTTAAAGGGGTATGGAGGGGGAGAGAGAGAGAGCGAGAGTAACCATCTAAAAGGAAAAGTTATCCATGAGAGAGTGAGGTCAGGTAAGATTCACTCAGCATGTACCAGCTCCGAACATCCTGCTAAATTGATCAACTTCATGTAGATGTCTCACTCGATATTAAATAGTTCAGTTAGAAGTTTGCAGGATTGGAGGTTAATCAGATTTTTAAGAGGATTTTTTTTTTCTTGGACTAAAGCAATTTCTCTGTTCATTTAAGCCAGTTTATCACACAAATGGAGGAAGTCTGTTTCGGGAGCACGAGGAGGGGAAGACGGAGCAGACTCGATGACTCTGGCAAGACAGAAGAGGAACATTAATAATTACAGAGAGATTCAAAATGCAAGAAAGACTGCAATTAGTGGAAGTCTAAATAATACACAGCTTCGGGATAAAATGGTTTAAATGTAATTCTTGTGCGGAACAAAGTCAGGCAATAGAAGTTTCTGTAAAAGTTGCAGAGAACTTTTTACTTTTTGATATGATTTTTAATGAGACACAATAATTCTGACCTGGAGAAATCTGAATCTGAATTCCCACAGCAAGTGAACAAACGCTGACGCCCGGCTACTTAGCGTCTCAGCGCGAGCGTGTGCTTGAAGCAAACATGAAGTCATGCCTCCCTCATCATTATGAATACAAATAAAGAGTAGTATAAGCTTTGAGTAAGATGTTTTTGACAAGTATGGCTTAATTGGTTCTCATCTCTAAAGCAACACACAACACATTTGAAGGGGAATCTGCTTTTACACTAAACTTCTCAGAGAAATAGTTGATGCAGAAAAAAGATATTGAATGTGGTTAAGAAAACACCCCACTTTTTACTTCTTTAATAGTATGTGATAAAATACAATCCATAAAACCCAAGTAAAAGCAACTATATTCAAATAGTTGGCTTTAGCTAAGAAACATATAGATGTGCAATCTCCACACTACTTCAGGAAGAGCTGCATAATATACCTACAGCATCGAATGTTCATCTTATGTGACAGGAATACGGATTTCATTTACAGACTGGTAACATACCTAGTAATAAAGGCGCATTGCATTTTGAGCAACAAAACTGAATCAATCAGAAGAAAGGTGACAAAACAGGCAAACACTTGGCTAATCATAAGCCGCTGCATTGTGGGAGGACGCTGACAAATCCGCTCTATGATAAGTCATATGCTAAATTCTAAATTTGATTCAAAACATTTTATAAATTAAAAAAACAATCAGCTCAAGTGCTTCTGAACAGAGTAGACAGAATGTGAATCAGCATGCTGACATAGAAACTTGGGCTAAATAATGTAAAACAAAAAAAACAACAAACTTGCATGCTAGTGAAACGGGAACATAAACACGTGTCAAAATGAGTCTGTTCCATTTTAATCTACCTTTAATTTGTACCCTGAATATGTCATCAGCAACAATAACTTTAAAAAAATGCGTTTTTATCTTTCATTCACATGCGTAAGTGACCTGCGTACGAAAACCCGTTCTTGCTCATAATATACACCTGATACAAGAGCGCTCCACTCATGTATGAATCCGTCAGGTAACACTACCCTCTCCCGACAAGTGTTGCAGATGGTTACCAATACTGCCAGTTTTTACGAGCAACAATATTTAAACTGGCATCAACAGCAGACTGAGGAAAATAAAAATGAAACATTTAATTTTTCATGTTGATTTTTTTGTTCTCCTCTGTTTCTCCATGTCACCGTTTGACCTAATTTGTTCTTTTGGGCTTGTCATGGCAAAGCAGCTCATCCAGCAAACATGCCTGATGAGGTGTGAAGCCTGCACCCAAATTCAGCTCTCCTACCCTCTGCCCACATTCCTGCTCTGCTCTGCTTACTGGAGGTATACATCACTCACAGGCACAGTCTCAGGGTCAGATGGAGGCATCCCTATCCAAACCTGAAACCAGTCAGGCAAACCAGAGATCAGTCCCTCCCAGTCTCACAGTCTATTTTCTCCTCAGAGTTGGCGTTGAACTGCAGTAAAGTAAAAACAGACAATATAGTGTGTGCCATGTTCAGTATATTTATTGTTTATTATTTACTTTTACATAAGAAAATTTGATCAACCTGCAAAATAAACTGTATTTATAGACTTTTGTAAAGTGGAGTGAGTCGATAGAGGCCCAGAGATTAGTTAAATTATTCAATATTTACTTCGACTGTCTGTCTGTAAAGAAAGGTTAAAAAAAAAAATTAACGGCTGCACTTTGCTTGTAAACATATTCTCTAGAGGCAGAGAAAACAACAAAGAACTTACAAAATGTACCAAACCTGAAAAAAACACCCAGCTTGTATTTTATTTAGGTTAAGTAATCATCACCTTACCAGCCATTTACTTTTACATTACATTTCAAAACAACACAGTGTTTCTATGTTTCTGCAGCTTGCAGGAAAAACAGAAAAAGGTTTGCTAGCAACAAAAGTGAAATGAGTCCGTAATGACAGCGTGGATTGTGTGAATATCAGCTTTCAGAGTCAGGAAAAAAACAAAAAGCATGTAGACTAAGTGTAAATAAAAGAAGAGCTGTGAAATATAGGAAGAAATGTGTCGGTTATGAGAAGAGGTACTGTGGATGTTTAGATCTTCACCCCTGGCTGTGTCAGTTGGCAGGTGGTAATGGCTGGCAGGGTTATAGATGTTGACATTATGTGGGCAAGGGAACAACCTGGTCACCGCAGTGAAGAGGACAACGCTGTGGCATTCCAGGTGTTGGTTGCCTATAGCGACTGTGTGGGAGCTCTAGAAGTCCAGGTGTTTGTTGCCGGAAGTGCCGGAGCCACAGGCTGACGCCACCGCGGCTGCTCCTGCCAGCTCCCCCCTGCTCACACGACTCACTGTCTCAGACAAGTCTGGAGGCAAATGCAGTCTCTGCACAAATCAGAGAGAGAGAAGAGGGACAGAGGGAGGGGGCAGAGCGTCAGTGCAAGAAGAAAGCTCTGCAGTGGATCAGCATACAGTAGATGTTACTCTTCAGTGATGCTTATTCGCAGAGAGCCATGTTGGGTTGAAATTGCATTAGATGCTTCAGCACTCCCCTCAGCACTGGCAGCATGGAGTAAACCTGCCAGCGTGTTGCTAAATGCTTCAGAGAGCTTTAGGTCTGTTACACCTCATGGGGAATATATGTGTGTGTGTGTGTGTGTGTGTGTGTGTGTGTGTGTGTGTGTGTGTGTGTGTGTTAGGGTTGTTTTGGAGAATTGTGAATGGGACACAAAATCACTCATTTATGAAGTAAGAGAAAGTGTGTGTTCCAACACAACTGTGCCCGGAAAATCTGGATGGATGCATTTGCATCAGTGCAGCAGCGCTGACTGCTTTACTGTAACACAAATTGTGCTCAGTTGTCTACAAGAAAGTCTTTTACAGTAAAGCTTATCTACAGAGCAGCCCTGTGCCAACTCAAAGCACAAAGACGCTAAGAGGTTAATGAGGGCCACTTGTGTAAACCCCCCAAACACCAACATGCTTACTGCTATAAAGCTTAAGAGGGGTTTCACTGCCTGCTCTGCTTTCTCCAGATCTGCCATGAAAGGCTGTCGGCGGCCCTCCATGAACAAAGTCTTGAAGAGCTGTTGAGAGCGTGAGAGGAGGTGAAGTATCTCCGGAGTCAAGTGTGGCCCTGACAATGGTGCTGAGTGGCTTGTTGCCCGAGTGTCTATTGAGGAAGTTAAATCAGAATACTGCCATTCTGGGTACAAGAGAAGTTAAACCCTATAATTTCCCCCTGAAAGAATCTGCCATGACATCTGAAACCCACTGGCCAAAGCCTGCACTCCCACACGTAGCCCACCTCAACCCTGTAAACCTTCCCTGCCCGCCACGTCCTTCCCCTCCAGACATCCAGCTTTAGCAGAGCCCTTCCACTCCCACAGATACTTATCTTTTTCCTAATGACTAGGTGTTTGGGTACGGGTTTAAGAGCGTCATTACTTAGAGATAATCAGAACAACGCCGCACTCTTTACCCCCTCAGGGTAGATGACTTCCAGCCTTTATTTTTTTAGAGTGCTGAAACACCTGAGTGTGTTTTAAATGACTGATCTTCGTGTCTGATATGAAGCCTTCTCTTCCTGCTCCTGTGGCCGACAGCTCAAGTTGTTGAGCATATTGCCTTTGTGTGTGTTTCAGAAAACCATTTGTGAGGCAAACAGAGGAAAGAAGAGTAGTCTTCCTGCAGATTATCTAAGGGAAGGTGAGAACTGAGACACTTGTGAAGGACCTGTAATTTAATGTGAGATGGTAAAGCTAAGGTTACATAGAGGCAAGGAAAATGATTCCCAGTGAAGAACAAACATGAGGCACATAATAAGCATGAACTAAGACTGGTGAGACCAGAAGATGAAGTTGTTAGAAAAACATGAATCTGTTCAACTTCTCTCTGCATGTTAGTCTTTCTTTCACTCCTTTTTTCCCCCCACACACATGCACGCACGCACACACACACACACAAACATCCCAGGCAAACTCATACACCGGCCTTGAGGGGGCCTCCAGAAGCGCTGCTTTGCTTCCATACCCTGCCAAACCTCACCTGTGTAACCTTTCGTGTCTTCAGCTCACTCGAGTGTGATTGAAAAAGAAAAACAATGCATTGATCAAGCCTGGACTCAGTCCTGCTTAGCGCACTGCAGCGGAAACATGTTAGAGAGAGAGGTAGGAGAAAAATCAATCACATATACATCATCCTCAGTGGGTGAGTTAAAGGGAAAAAAAAGACATCACACCGTTGTCTGGCTGTCACGCACCCACGGGCCTGGCTACACCATGTCTGTTTGGCTCTGGGCTCTGTAAACCCACTGAGCATGTGCAGAGCGAAGGTCAAAGCAATTCAGAAGTGCAGCTCAGCTCCTCTAACCTTTGAGTTCAGGGGCAGATGAGAACAATCAATGGTAACATCAAAGTTGGAGGGAGGAGCAAACAAACCAATCGATTGGTTTGACACACAGGGAAAAGACAGCCTAGTAACAGCCAGCAACCACCACACACACACACAGCCAATATAAGAGCCGATAAATGTTATCAGAGCCAAAAAACTCTCTTCTATACCAAATGAAGTAATCCTAAGCACAGCTAAATGCATGAAGACAATCAAATTATTTTCAATAATTTTGAATTTATCTTTGAAATTTACACCAAATATTTTAAAAGCATTGTAAGTACAGTAGATTATTCTAGCAATGTTTACAGCAAATGCATTACTGCCCTGAGCATTTCACACTGACAACAAATGAATGGAGGTCAGTGTAGGACTTCGAGAGACATAGTCAGGGAGGCTCTGAATCTGCTTCCCTACGACCTGCACACTCCATGATGTAAACAAGGACATCCGGATAACCCTCAGAGGCATAGTGGGGTGTATGTGTGTGTGAAGTCTTTCTTTGCTGCCTGGCAACCTTCGCGAGGGTGGAGAAAGAGGAAAAACATAAGAAAGGGGCGAGGGGTGGGGGGTGGGTGTTGGAAAGGAGTGGACGGCGGGAAAATAGACCATTGGCTGTGGTGCCGTGGTGGAGGGGGGCAATGTGAAATTGGATGTGTGCTACAATCTTAGTCAATGTGTGTGTGTGTGTGTGTGCGTGAGTGTGTGTCTTAGAGCTGTGATGTCAGTGTTCCCTCCCTGGTGGTGGGCAGGGGTAAAGGTCTGTGGTACAGCTCCGCCACCACAGCCAGAGGGGATGGGGCCATGCTGGCAACAGGGCGAGGGGTGACAAAGCTCCAAACGAGCACTAAGCACTTGAAATGAGCCCTCGGGGTCGGCCCACAGACTAGCTTTGCCTAAGAGGGTTACTAATATCACCCCACAATGGACAATTCCCTTCAGCTTACCAAAGACCCCAAAGACCTGTTTCTCAGAGAATACGGTGTTTTATGCTGCCCGGTCATTTCCACTCTCTGTAGTTTTATTTGTGGATATGACGTCAGTCGTTTAAGGGTCAGAGAACACACTAAATCACTGTTTTGGGCATCTTCTTTTGTTTTGCTTGTGTGCGTTACAATGCAAAGCAGTTGTGTAATATTCCAACATCTAAATGGAGAGATTTTTCCAAGTGGAGCTTACAAGGGACCTACTCACACAAAGCAGCGCCATCAAAGGCATTCCAGTGGTGGTAACGGCTTGCTAATGACTGGAGTATTAGGTGCTAATTTAACGAGTCATTTCTTCCATAGAGTTTTAGCCACACTTTCAAATGGCCCGTGTCACTGTACAGCTTAGGACGATGGGAAACCCAACACCTTGTTAGAACACATGATGACCGGTCTGGCTGTTCCAATCAGATTAGCTGGCACAGGAATATGTTTAAGGAAGTGACAAGATATTTACCATAAACACCTACTTAATCAATCAGTGCTGTAATGCTGACAGCATTTTGTAAACTCAGTGATTTCACTGAAATTACATAAAACTGAAAATTGCTTCTCTACATTTAAGTCATTACAATCGCAGCGGAGAAAAAGTGACTGAAATCTGGGTACATGCTGTTACCAATAAGATAAGCTTGGGTCATTTTATTAATGCAGAACAATTCGACAAAATGTATTTTTAATATATAGCTCTAGGTCCAGTATTCATAGACTGCGGTCACATTAGAGGTGATACCTTTTGCCAATTCCATTTCCTTGAGCGGCACAGCTGCAGTGCAGCCACTGTAAACTAATGTGTACATCTGTCCATGACACCAGGTCAATGTCTTCCATTTCCAGCCCCATTTCTACAACCAGCCAAGGGTCAAAATGGCAGCAGACTGTTTCACGGCTGAAACTGGTAGACTTGCTGATCTGTTCAGTGACTAAACCAAGGTAAATCGCCTGCCAGCGCTGTAATCCCTCGCAACTCTAAAGTTTCACCGCATTGTGTGGGAAATCATTTGCTGTATCTATAGGAACTAGTATTGGCTTTAGCACACCAAAAACCCACATAATGAGGTGATGAACCTTTCTATTCGACAAGTAAACTATGAGCACATTTACCCTGGCAATTTCGGAGAATACTTCCGCCACCTTCCCAGAAAAAAAAATGCAGAAACAACCCGGCATAAATCCTTTATGCCAATCACTTTGGAAATTCTAGCCCACCTGCACCTAACAAAAGCTGAGAAGAAGCTCTACCTTTCTCTTCTTTTGTGGTAACAAAGAGCGTAACACAATCCCTGGCCTTGCCCTAAGAATAACCTGTTGACTAGCAAAGTCTTTCTCCTTTAGACTTTGAAATTTTAAGTAAAAATTTGTTCTCATCCTTTTATTTTGTCCAATTAATTTGACATCATTAATCACTTTTAGAATATTTGGGATTTTATTCTGCATTCTTTTTGGTAATAACATGGTTTATTGTAGTATATTTAACCTTCAGCGTCATTTGAATACTAGCAAAAAATACGCATGAAAGGACGGATGCATTTTCTTGCTTGTTAAGTTGCATGCTACCTGATAAAGCTTTTTCCTTTTCCTTTTTCAGGAGACAAGAGAAGAAAGAAACAAACACAAACTACACTGGAGCTTTCTCAAGTTTCTCTTTGGTAATTGGGTGATGGTCACCTGCTCACCATGTCACCTGCTGCCTGATCCGGGATAATCTAAAAGTCAGGCATACAGACAGTCAGGAGGACTGACAGATAGACAGATACAGACACAGGCTCCTCATCTATTCCGCTTCATGGCCTAATGCATCTGACAGAGTAGGCAGCAGGCAGGCAGAAGGATGAGTAAGCATTTTCAATGTAATTATATTCCCTAACACTGGAAAAAGGGGAAGGGACTAATAACTGACTGAATTTCATTAAAAGCGAGCATGTCCAAACAGGAAATTGATTAGCTGACAATATTTCAAGTTTTTTTTAATACCTAATGGAATGTTTATTCTTGTTCTCTTGAATA